GAAAAGGTTGAAGTTGTGAAACACCTCATTTTACTTGGATCTACAATCAACACTCATGAAAGCCACAATCAAGAAAACAAACACCATGTCACATTAGGCAAATCTGCTACACAAGACTTCTTTAAAGTGTTCAAGAGCAAAGATATCAGATTGATGAGTAAGGTTCACCTGACACAAGCCATAGTATTTTCAATAGCCTCATATGCATGTGGAAGTTGGACAGTGGATAAGGAAGATGATAGAAATATTGTTACATTTGAGCTCTAGTGTCAGAAAAGAATATTGAAGTTACTATGAACTGTCAGAACAAACAGGTCTGTGGTAGAAGAAGTACAGTTAGAGTACTCCTTAGAAGCTAGGATGATGGGACATCATTTCTTAATTAGACTTCTTATCAGGAGCTACCAGACCCTGGAGAAGACCATTATGCTTTGTAAAGTGAAAGGGCAGAGAAAAAGAGGAAGCCCCTCACCCCAAAGAGATGGATTGGCACAGTGGTAGCAACAATGGGCTCAAACTTAGCAACAATTGTGCGGATGGTGCAGGACTAGGCAGTGTTTTGTTCTGTTGTGTATGGCGTTGCTATGAGTTGGAATCAACTTGATTAACATCTAACAACAAACCACCTACAGCAGAATGTTGTCATAGATAAGAGCTCTTTTTTCAATGTCATTGTTGTTAATTGCCCTAAAGTCAGTTCTAACTCACAGCCACTCTCCACAGGGTTTCCAAGGAGTGGCTGGTGGGTTTGAAACACTGACCTTGGGTTAGCAGTCTATTGCTTATCCTACAGTGCCACACCTGGACTCTTAGTTTGGGAATCTTTTTGTACTTCCAACTCAACTATCAATGACACAAGATGGTTCAAATAAAATTAATTTCCATGAATTAACACATTCATATATTTCAAAATTAACGTATATATTTTCAGCAATATTTAAAACATGTTAACTACTTTGATGCATAAAAGATAAGGCATAAAAAATTATTCATTTGGCATAACCATGCATATTCTTATATTAGCTTATTAAATTATTTCTATATTTAAAGGATGTCCATTTATTTATTCAGATAACATTTACTGATTACCCATTATGTTCCATAAATAGTGGACATTTCATGCTGAAGATATAACGATGAATAAGGAGACTGTCTCTCAAAGACCTTGGTTTTGGGGGAAAGCTAACATGCACTATGGATCATTAGAATGTAACAAACAAAGTAGCTTCTAAAAAAGAAAACGGGTTCCTTAGAAATGTATTTACAATCTCTGTTGTTTTTTTTTTCCTTTATATATAGAAAAATGAAAGGACACTGTTCAATGTAATTTTAAATATCTGAGCTACTGAAGATATATAAAGTTAGCAAACATAATCATGTTGTTATTAATAAAAATAAACTAATATCCATAGAAAGAAATTAAATGTTATAGCTCTTAGGTGTAATGAAGTGGTTTAAAAGTACTAGTTCTTATCCACAGACAAATGTAAAAACCTTCCCTAAAAGCCGAGACTGTAAATTCCAAAAAGGCAAGTCCCCCCCATCCAAAAAAAAAAATAAAGAGGATAGAGAGAAACACTGTTAACTGATGATATATGGAGGGGATAATAATCAATGTAATGAAACAAGCTATATGAATGGTTGAATGTGAAGCTGACGATGTGCCCTGTAAACTTTCACTCAATCCAAAATAAAAACATTTAATTAAAAAAAAAGAAAACACACCCAGTAACTTTTTCCCCCTAGTAAACTCTAGTTATCTAAAAAAAAAAAAAGTACTAGTTCTATTTGGGAGAGGAACGGCACAAAGAAACCAAGAGATTAATTAATATAAAGAAACATGATTATGGTTTAGCTGATATGTGGACCAATTCTGCCTTAGTATTTCAGGTATAGTCTATTTGAATGGCTTCCCTTTAGTCACAAGGAAAACAGTATTGTATAATAGAAATGCCATAATGAAGTCATAAATAAGTGGAAATCTATAGATTAAAATGTTGTAGCATGTCCAATCAGTTGATCCTTTGAGTGTGTTCATCTCTTCAAATAACTTTGTTTATACTTTCTCTATGGTTCCCCTTAGACAGATTTGTGTACAAACTGCTCTAAACTGCCCTAAACAATTTGAGTTCAGTGTCTAGATTCCATTATTCTTGTGAAGTAGTCACATACTGTCAGATTCTGTGAGTGTGACTACTGATTCTATTATTTTCTAAATAGAAAAGGGCTTCAAAACATTTGTGCAAAAATAGAATTAAAAGATAATGGAGATGGAAGCAGAGACGATGATGTGGAGAGATGGAGCGGCTGGGGTCTCTGGACTCAGGGAGGGAGAGGGGTGGTGGGCCGGGGGACAGGCTTACGGGGTGTACCCTTTGGTTGTTTGAATGGTTATATATTCCCAAGTGCTTCAGTGTACATCCGAAAAAAAAAACAGGGAATGGAAGCAAATGCTGTTGAATGATGATAATTGGAGGGGATTGTAATCATTGCAATGAAATGAAATACGATAGGATGAATGTAAAGCTGATATTCTCCAATGTAAACGATCACTCACTTCACAATAAAAATTTAAAAAACAAAAACTAACAGAAGGGTGAGGAAAGAAAGACAAATGAAAATAAGAACTACAGAAAGGAAGTCAGACAAGTAATGCTACCCTGTGGGGATTGCAATCTGTGAGATAAAACCAAATGTGTATGGACTGCTGACTGGAAATTCATCTGCTCTGCAAGGCATCACCCAATCCACTCTAAGAAATTTATAAATAATCATAATAATGGAAATGTCCCACATATCTTTTGAAGTCTCCTCATATATAACAAGGGTCATGGGACCCACCTCTTTATGCCTCAGTTATCTCATTTATAAAATTTAAGTAGTACTGTTAACCTCATAAGGAGCTCTGGTAGTGTAGTGGTTACAAATCGGGCTGTAAACTGCAAGGTCAGCAGTTCGAAACTACCAGCTGTTCCACGGGAGAAAGATGAGGCTTTCTGCTCCTGTAAAGATTTATAGCCTCAGAAACCCTGTACAGGATCGCTGTGAGTTGGAACCAACTCCATGGCACATAACTACCACCATTAACCTCATAGGGTGGTTAGGGCAGGTAGAACTGTCTCATGAACAAAATTAGTATTCAGTAAGTGCAATTATAGTCATGATTAGGTTAAAATGCTTCATGTTTATTTTATTATGTAATATATGAGTCTCAGAACCCATGTATCACATACAGTAAGTCCTCAATGAATGTTCACTGAAGCAAACATCAGTGGACCACACAATTAAAGTAGTTCACAAAAAAGAATAATGAGGATAGTTATATATATTTTTTAATACTGGATGTTTTCAAGCATTCCTAAAAACTGAATGCAATAATGATCTAGGAATGAAAGAAGTAAAACTAGATAATTTTTCTAGTATGTTTCAAAAGCTACAAAAAAACAGGAAAGACAAGGGTAAATGTCTTGAACCAGATTTAGAAGTACTTGTTTGAATTCAGAGCTTTGTGATATTCATTGCATTTCATAAATAACTTGGTTTTAGATTCACTATCTTTAAAATATGGAAGTATGTTTTTTCTATATCTAAATAAAACAAATTTTTAAATGGTATTATTAATAGAACCACTAGAATCAAACTAAATGAATAATATTCGATATCTGTCCTGAAGAGTTGTACGAACTGACCATAAGGAGTCTAACCCAGTTACCATGGACTAGAGTCCAATTCATTACTATTCCATGTATGTTGGCATAGTACTATGTTCCACAGAGCTTCCAATGGCTGATTTTTCAGAATTAGATCATAAGACCCTTCTTCTGATGCCCTTCTGGGTAGATTTGATCCTCTAGCTTTTGGATTAGCAGCTGTGTGCATTGACTATTTGCACCACTCATATTAGAAAAATAATTCATTACCATAGTTCTTGGGACACATGGGGTATTTCTAGTCTAAGTACCAAAAATAAGTTCTTTATCTCATCTCTGAAATAACTGGCTTGTGTATATTCATTGTGTATGGCATAACTAATTAAGGTTCCCTTTTGGCATTGGAGTCAAATTTGTGGAGTCTTCGTGAAATTCATTTTTCAGCCTCTGCCTTGACTTCATTTTATGTCTTGTCATGTGTATCCTTCTAAACCTTTTGTAACTAATTTTTGGAGTAATACCAAAAGTAACTGATTACATAATAAATTAATTTTAAAACAAAGTAACATAATTAAGGGACATCTTGAAATCATTGTTCTAAATGTATATTAGAGCAATGATTTTGATTTAAACTTAAAAATTTCTTAACTCTAATTTCATAAGTTGACTTACCAGAAAAAAAGCTGACTGCATTATTAATGCTGTTCTTTTTGATGCCAGTTATCTTTCCTATTGTAAATAACTGACTGGATAGTATTCGGATCCTAAAGATCTACATTCTGATGTATTTTTCCTGAGCTATGAAATCACACTTTACCTGCAGACAATGCAGAGTTACTCCTCCCATCTCTGAGCAAGGAGCTAGCACCTCTTGAAGTATCTCTTAGCTTTATTTATATTCTATTAGAAAAGTATTAAAAGAAACAGAAAAACATAACTAAATATTGAACTTATACAGATTAATAAAAGGCAAGATATAGAAACGTATACTAGGCACTTTACATGTATTTCTTTAATTTTTTCATTCTTTCACAGTCATTACAAGGAAACTGTTATTAACCAGAAAAACAAGAGAAGTTCAGAGAGAATTAAGTAGTCCAAGATGACAATGTTAAATGGCAGAGTTGGCATTGGAAACTAGGCATTGCCGTCTGTAAGGTTGTACCGTTACTACTACAATTAGGTTTTAATGTTTTATATACCAAAGAACACTGGTCCTGAATTTAAGGGGTCAAAGTTGAAGGATGGTTAAATTACTTTACATCGGAAAGATTTTGTGCAAGTATGATTAATTTTTCTCCCCATGATGAGTCCATTGTGAGTGTATCTGCCTCCTCCGAAAATCAGAACCTAATCAGAAAATAAATGTGTTTTTGAAGAATTCTCTCTCAAGACTTTGCCAGCAATGATAAGTTTGATGGCTTTTCGAAACCAAGGATAGAAAAAAGCATAAATCAAGGGGTTCATCGCTGAGTTATAGTACGCAAACCAAACTAATATTTCATAAATGTATGTGGGTGTGATGAAACCAAGGAAGGCATCAATTATTGAATCAATGAAGTAGGGTAGCCATGAAATCAGAAATGCTATCACAGCAATTCCCAGTGTTTTCGCTGCTTTTCTCTCCCTCCTGGCCACTCTATCTTTATAGCTGTCTGATGATTTCTCGGTCTTGTTGCTCATACTTTCAATTTTTCTAGCTTGTTGCTTAGCTATAAGAAAAATCTTGGAGTAAACAATTATCATCACAAGTGTAGGGATGAAAAACAAAACAAAATTCACAAATACCCAATTTGAATTTACTGCAATTTGACAGCCTCCCACACAGGAGAGAGCATTTACTAGTTCCTCCAACCCAGTTTCATTTGCACCTGAGTAAAGAAGAGAAAAACTATAAATAATTGAAAGAAGCCAGGAGAAGGCAATACATACACCAGAAACAGTAGCAGTAAACCTGGTTGGATAGGTCAGAGGGTCAGTAACAGCAATGTATCTATCCACAGAAATAAAACACAAGTGGTAGATAGAAGCGTAACAAAACGATCCTTCAAAACAAGAGTGAAATTTACAATATATCTCCCCAAAGTACCAGCAGCTCTCCACAGACCTCACTGTGCTGAAGGGCATCACTGTCATCCCCACCAAGAAGTCAGCGCAGGCCAGGGACGCTATCAAGAAGTTAGCTGGAGAATGCAGTTGCTTGAAGTGAAGAATTGAAATCATCACTAGGAGGTTTCCAAACACTGCTAACAGGGCACCAGAGCCAAACACCAAGTACAGAATCACCCGGGCCCCAGGCGAGTAGAACGTTTTAACGCAGGATCCATTCACATTCTCATAGCACAGTTGTACAGCCGCGTTAGGGCTGCTCATGATTCTCCTTTCAGATACCTGGAATAATTGTCACTTCGATGGCTCATATGCCACTCTAATGCTCAAAAGTCCTATAAAAGGAAAGGATGCAAACATTAAAAAAAAAAAAAAAAGGAAAGGATGCAGTACATCAAGAATCGCCAGTACATGCTGTCCCTTTTTCTTTTAAACTATAAATCCTTATTCATGTGATCATAAACTAATTTATACCATTGTCTCATAAAATAATTCACTTTCAAGAAAATAAGCAATTCAATTAATCCTTACTATTTAATTTACTTTCTTCATATTACCTAGTTCTCTAGTTCTTCCGATCTGGAAAGCATTGCAAAGAGCAGTCAACTGTCATGTGATGCGTGGTCCGATACCTCCTTTTATTAAAGATATCTTCATGATTTACCACAACCAGATAATGCACAGAACACTTGTTCCCTCAGAAAAGGAGCTAAATAATCCCAAATACCCAAACCCCTTAAGATTGAATCCCCATAGTGCTAAATGAGCTAAGTAAGAAACTTTTAAATAACTATTGTTTATGCTAAAAATAACTTTATGCCCTTCTAATTTGCTGTTGTTATTTAAACTTTTCATGAACTAGAAATGGAAAAGGTTTGCCTTTAAAACACTTCATCCATAATTTGAAAACCATACATATGTTTATTTTTATGAATTATTAGAGATTGACTTCTCAATTTTGTGAGAACATTATTTATCATTCCTGTGTTAGTAGTCATTAAGTCTCTTTCAGATGAGTTTTTTATTCCCTTCTAGCATTGGATGCGTTAAAAGATTAACTGCAGAATCCGATATTAACATCTAGAATATTGCAAATTCAATTTTAATAGCTTGAACAGGTAAAAGTGGGGGGCGTAGAGTATGAGGTATTTATTTACATCATGAAAATATAGAAACAAAGTGTAAGAAAAAGTAAAAACCTAAGCAAAAGGGCTTTGGTACAATTGTTATTTTAATTGTAACTGTTGGGAAGATACTAAAGACATAAAATATAAGAAGAATATTTGGAATGTGGGAGGTAGATTCCAATATTATGAGTGTGTTCTACCTTTGATGAATTTCTTTAACATCTTAAAATGGAACTATATAATAGAGCTCACCTTTAGCTTTGATAATTTAGGAGGCTTTTCTGGTGAATGGTCACTGAACATTTTAAATCAGTTTTTCATCTTGAGGCATAATTCATATTAGAAATGTTCACTGTTCAAAATGTACAGGTTGATGATTCTGATGAATGTGTCCTTCCATGTAACTTCCATATACTCAAGATATGAAGTATTTCCAACACCCCAGAAATTTTCCTTATGCCCTTTTGCAGCTAACCTCATTCTTGATTTCCCTTCCCTCTTCATAGCAACCTGTTTTCCATCACCTTAGATTCGCTTTACCAGTTCCAAAATCATATATGAATCAAATTATACATGAAAACTAGGCAACGAATAAAGAAGACCAAAGAATTGATAAATTTGAATTATGGCATTAGTGAAGAATATTAACTATACCATGGACTGCCAGAAGTATAAACACCTCTGTTTTAGAAGAAACACACCCAGAATGCTCTTTAGAAGTAAGAATGACAAGAATAACATGAATTCATCTCATGCACTTTGGGGATGTTATAAGGAGGGACCAGCCCCTCAAGAGGACATCATGCTTGTTAAAATGTTGTTGTTAACCATGGTCAAGTTGGTTCTGATTCATAGTGACCCTGATAGGGTTTCCGAGGAATGGCTGGTGAGTTTGAACTGCCAACACTGTGATTCACACAACCTTATGGTCTAGTGCTTATCCTACAGCACCACACCAGGAAATCAGTGAAAAAGAGAAAGACCCTTAATGAGAAGGAGGAATGGCATGGTGGCTGTAACAATGGGCTCATACAGAGCAGTAATTGTAAGGACGGTGCAGGACCTGCAGTGTTCCATTCTGTTGTACACAGGGTCACTAGGAGTCAAAATCAACTCAACGAAACCTACAAACATCTCTTCTCTGACAAGGTTCTTTCATTCAGTTCAATGTCTGTGGAGCTCATTCATGTTATTGGGTATATCAGTCATTAATAGCTTGTTATTGCTAAATCACAATTCTATTTTATGAATACACCACAATGTTTTTATCCACCTACCTGTCAGTGAACATTTGGATTGCGTCCATTTAGGTTGCCTGTTCAGGATTCTTGGTGGCATGTGGATTAGGTGTTGAGCTACTGACCATAAACTTAGTGGTTCAAAACCACCAGCCACTCCACGGTAGAAACCATAAAGATTTAAAGTCTCAGAAATCTCATATAATGTTGCTATGAGATAGAATTGACTCCAAGGCAGTGGGGTTTTGTTTTATAACCATTTGTACCCATTTCTTTGCATGGTCATATATTTTCAGTAACTAACTTCCCTAGGAGTAAATACCTAGGAAAATTGCCAAACCATAAGAGAAGAGTATGATTGCTTTCCAAAGTAATTATATTATTTTATCATTTTACCAGCAATCTCTAATTCCTCTATCTGCTAAAAGATTTCATCAACAGTTGATGTTACCATTCTTTTGTATGAAGTCCTGCTGTGCTACCCTGGACCTCAAGATCCATTTGAACTACAGGTCAGCTGTTTAAAACCACTAGCTTCTCCTCGGAAACCCTATACTATACAGGGTCATGATGAGTGTGACCAATTTGACGGCACTTAACAGCAAAACAACAGTAGATGTGCAGTGGACTCTTTTATTTCATATTTATTTACCTCTGTTTAAGGGTGACATTGATGTTAAGCCATCTTCATATTATTATTGGTTATTCATATATTTTCTTTGGTGAACTCTCAAATAAAACAATTTGTCCATTTTCAATCAAGTTGTGAGTCTTCTCATTGAGCTGATTGGATTTATGTTCTTTGTTAGATATGCAAGTATGTTATGAATATTTTCACTCACTCAGTGATTAGAATTTTCATTTCCTTGACAGTGTTTTTTGGAAGTATGTTGTTGTTGTTAAGTGCCATCGAGTCAGTGCCAACCCATAGCCACCCTGTATAGGGTTTCCAAGGAACAGCTGGTGAGCTTGAATCGCCAACCTTGCAGTTCAAATGACTCTGCAGTCTGGCCCATTAACCCACAGTGCCTAAATTTTACCTTAAGTCCATGATCCTGGAAAACAGTTAAAGAGGTTTCTCCTATCCTTTGTGTTACTGCAAATACTACTCTTTCCAACTTGATTTATATACAACTCACAGGTGATAAGTCCAGAGACAGACTTTGCCTTTGATCAGTCCAGATAAGACCCTCCAAATTCCCATTCTTGGCCTCATAAGTGATTAGCTGAATTTCTTCTACCCACTTATCATGAAGAAACAAAATGCTTGTTAACCGAACTTTAATTTAGTTTTTCTCCTTCTCTTGAAATTTGAGCCATTCTCTGAATTTGTTGTGGGTTTTCTGAAATTTTTTTTAATATACTGGCTTGGCTTTATATGTAAAGGCATCAATGACTCTATTTTTAGTGGTAAATGGGTACTGGAAGAGTCCATGTCCTGAAGTGGCAAAACATTTACTCAAGTTGTCATCTGTAGATACCTGCAAAGAAGGGTCTACACAAGGCAAGTCTTGTTTATCATCATAGCAATACACAAGCACCTACTGACAAACAAGTGGTAGCAAATTAAACTGATGTATCTCCACATGGAAAGCTAGAATTCTACTACCAACCCACCTAAAGTCCTCATAAGGAACCTGAAAGCTTCTAAAAATGCCTTGGAAGAGTTCCTTATTTCATATAGCTAGTGGGTTGACTTTCTGAAAACCAAACTCAAAAGTCCAATCTTGTGGATGATTGAATTAGAAATCAAATTAAATTTCCAAATTCCCAGAGTCTCTTTTCTTAAAATTCAGACACTGATAGTGAAAAAAAATATGCAAAAATTAAATAAGGACAAGTGAACTGATTCTGATGAAGCTAATACCTCAAATTCCTGGATTTGTCTATGTTTTTTGACAGTGGGGGCAGTTTTTCAACCCTTGCCTGAATAATCTAAAATGTCCCTCCTGAGACAGTGCCTAAGAAGGTACTGCAGAGCCTCCTAAGGGCCCATCTCATGACCTATCCTTGACTTTAGGTTCATATTCAGTCTCAATCCCAGCAAGTACCAAAGAGCAAAGGCACAAAGTGTAACCCTGGAGGGGCTATGACAAACCACAAAAGATTTGTGTAGTTTTGCTAATCTACATTAACAGAAACCTGAGGAATACATGTGGGAACAGACCTTAAGGATATGAGATCAATGTGGAAGGAGTGTAATATTTGACCAAATTTATTCATATAAATTCAAAACAGAGATTCCAGATTGAAAGTTTTAGCTAAAGATGCTAGAATTAGCTCCAATAGTTCAGTTGGTTGATTAACTAAAATAAGGATCCAAATGTGGCCTATACTAAATGAAGTTGAAATGTGAGAACTCCCTTGGCATATTGTGAAGTATTCAAAGAATTGGTATGTTTGAGTGGATTTATCCTGTGAAAACTTCAAACTCAGGCTAGGAGAGTCAGAAGAGCAAATCCTTCAGCACAGCTATAAAAGAAATGTTCATGCAGGGAGGACAACATCCTTAAGTGAACTTAGATGACCATCTTTAGGTCATAAACTCTAGTAGCAACTGCTACTCTTCAATCCTCACCACTGGACCAATAAACAACATTCTTATCAATGGAGAAAATATTGGAGTTGTCAAAAACTTCATTTTTCTCAGATCAACCATCAGCACTCATGTAAGCAACACTTAAGAAATCAAACGACGTATTGCATTAGGCAAATCTGCTGCACAAGACCTCTTTAAAGTGCTGAAGAGTAAAGATGTCAGTTTGAGGATTAAGGTGTGCCTAACTCAAGCCATGGTGTTTCCAATAACCTCATATGCATGTCGGACAGTGAATAAGGAAGACCGTAGAAGAATTGATGCATTTAAGTTATGGTGTTGGAGGAGAATATTGAAAGTGCC